TCGTCGTGCCTTAAGGAGACTACATCATGTCGCCCAAGATCCAAAGCCTGGTTACCACATTATAGCATACATCTATGAGGAATAGATATGTGTCGACACTGATTATCCTTTAAATCGAAAAGGACTGCTTTTTACGAGACTGAGTACTCGAGAACGATTAAAAGTTCCAATTTGTTTGCATTACCATTTTTATTTCTGACCTCTTTTTTTGACCCAATCATTTCGATCAAATAAACCAAAGAGGAGAATCTAGGAATGAGCACAATTATTTATCGACTTAAACGTGGCAACGATAACAAAATTAATTTGTTTTAATTATAAACACGTTTCATAAAACTCATAGAGTCTTTGAGAGTAAAAACTTGACTAATCACCGTCGGCCAATTTAATATTTGGTCACATCTCAACGACTTGAATATACGTCGATGGCACTCAAGTCAAGGTAGAATTCATAACAAATTATTGATTTAATGCTCATAGAAGTCATTTTTATACCTTTTATCCTCTTAAGGATATTCACCTCTTGAAATATATCTCTCAAAATTATTAATAATGATTTATTTATTTATTTCAAATGGCAGGCGTTTTGATAGCCATCATTAGCCATTTAGCTGACATCGGGCTTCACAGAGGGAAGGTTCATCAAAGTAGCAGAAAGTCGAGGGGCGGGGAACAGAAGAGCGATTCACAGATGTGAAAGAGACACAAAGGTAGAAAAAAGGTAAGGTGAGTACTGTGAAGGGGTCGAATATGATAGCCAAGGGGGTCGTGGTAGTTTGAAGTCAGAAGTCAAATGCCGGTTAATAGACTTTTTTGCCATATGAGTATACGTTGCCCAGGGTGCACCGCGTGGAGGTAAGTCTATCGCACGCCCCTTATTAATGATGATAAAGATTATTAAATCGTGTTTTCTATTTTCATTGGAAAATTATTCTGAGAGAAAATCGACTTTCATATCTCTAATGGGCTTTCATTGAAGTAGGAGAAAAAAACATTTTATATTTGTGTTCAATAAGATAAATTTATCTAGTTCATTCAAATTTCCGTTAAACAAAAGCAATTTATAAGTACAATTTCAAACAATAGTAAGATCAATTAACATTATTTTTTCCCAACAACTTGTCAGTAAAGGCTACTTTCATGAGCTACCGTAATCGATTTTTGTAGTCTTTAACTAATCTTTATAGATAAAAAACGCCCCTTATGTCACTTATTCATGACTTTTAATACAGAGACATTTTATTTGAACGAATTAAATATTTTCCATTTCAAATGCAAATTAGACAAGGGAAATATCTCCGATACCTTTACTCTAATCAGCATTTTAAGCCGTTTCTTTGTTTTTCACACTAAAAAAAACAAATATTGCTTTAGTATGAATAATAAGGTTAATAGTAATAAAATGAATGTCTATTTGATATTAGCTTCCAACTCAATGGTGAGTAAGCAACATGTGCGCTAATGGGTTTAGTTATCATTAGCTCACATCTGGGAAACGCTTGAACAATTCGTTGGAGTAAATAATATTCCAGAATAAAATACACATAGAAATAAAGTCCAGGTGATATAATTCTCTCCAATGCCGTTATTCTAATCGTTCCCCTTTAACAAACTTGGGAATCTATGTAAATTTTTTTATTTTTGTCAAAGGAAAACCCTGAAACTGAGTTCTAGGGCAATTAAAGGAAAATTCGACGAAATAAGACGACTTGCATATACCAACATGAATTAATAAATGCTTCTCTAATCAAGATCGGCTTTTAAAATATGCGTTGATTATAGATAGGATAAAATTGGTTTTATAAATAACAGTGAATTTATTGCCTTTTTACGGATAGCCTGGTGCTTTAATAATCATTAAATTTCTATCACCGTTTCACGACAAGGTGATAATTCTAGAGGAATCAAATAGAAATAGAAGAAGCTTGAGATGGCCAATTTATTGCTATGCGCAAAATCGTTTTTATGAACTTGGTGATGAAATTTTGGCAACATAAAATCCACGAGGCAAGCTCAATTAATATTATTTTCAAAACACATCAAAAAACGCGAAAAAGAGAACCAATGATAAAATTGAACCGTCTTTTCAAGCCATAGCATTTTGATAAGTACTAAAAAGAGTCATTTGTTAAAAATGTATTATTCTGCATTCTCACCTGATTTATGAATTGTGTAGATACTTACGTAAATAAGACATTGATACGTGACCAAAAAAGACGAAAAAGTAAAATATTTATTTATTTCAAATGGCAGGCGTTTTGATATTTATCATTAGCCACTTAGCTGACTTCGGGCTTCACAGAGGGAAGATTCATCAAAGTAAAAAGTAAAATATAAAATTCGGGATTTTTATAATTTTTTAAAGAAAGTTTTTTAATAGAATATTACTTTTTAATATTTTTTCAATGTTTCATTATAATATCGTCGTGGAATAACATCAGAACTAATAATGTAAATATATAAAATAATATTGCCTGAGCAATAAACAAATTCATCTTCTATGTTTACCTAAAATTTCCCAATAGGTGACCAATCGTCAGTAACAAATGATTCAAGTTCGCAGGACTGTCTGTATTCGTGGCTGTTAGTCTTCAGGATCTAGCCTGTATCGGCGTGTCTGCCGATTTCAAATAATCATCTCCTTCTATTTCAGTTTCTTATTCACGGTGATTCTAAATTTCCAAACTCCCTGTAAATTCTATTGTCATTCAGTAACTACAAGATTAAACGTCCTGCCCTATTCCATAAACGCAAGTCTTAATTCCTATTGGCCAATTATTCCGCCAAAACACATATTTCACGCTTCTTCTATCAGAATTCATTACCGGCGTATCGACTGCTTTGCTTCATGTCGATTCCCTTTCAAATAATCTTATTTATTGTGAATCTACGCATTGTGGCAACCAGGCCGGTAAATGTATAGCTACATTTGATGCAGACAACAATATTTAACTGGAAGGGGTATAGCATTATTAACCTTTGTTACGAAAGTCGGATAATAATTATAGATTCGCAATTTTGAACGCAAAGTAAATGTTAATTTTTTTCAAATGTGTAGAGTTTTAAAAAAAATTGTAATTTTATTTTGACTAGCTCCTTTCAGCCACCATTAATAGCTTCCTTCCGAAAATATTTCCATTAACTTCCAACATTTCACTAGAAGTCGTAGACTAGGTCAGCGGAGATAAAAATCTCAGCATAACTTTTGGAGTAAATTTAATCGAAAAATTAAGCTTCCTCAAGAATTACTTTGCAATTGGCCTGTGGAATTAAGCAATCCCATGAGGAGGATGCGGCGTGCGTTCGGTGCACTTCTTAGCTAATTACCTGTTAATGTATATTCAAGTTTCGTTTAATTTATTTAATTTATAAACGGGTTTTTGGAGCGAGCATAATTACAACAAGCGCCAGACTCGATATACGTCTGTTCCCTCTGAATCATTGAGATAGCTTTGCTTAATTCGGGAGCCTTTCCAAATTTGGGGTTCATGTCAGAGGGATTTACTGAGGGTAAGAGTCAAGGCTTATTTGTGTAGTCATCTACAGTAGGCCATTCAAAATTCAACGTATCTAATGACAACAACCAATTTTAAGCATATTGCGTCAAAATTCATTTCAGTAGCCCCTAATTACCTTGTATTTGAGAATTGTCTACAAATTATGGACAAATAAAGTTAAAAAGCAAAATTAAATAATGTAAAAGTTTTATTTTCGAACAAAAGCCAGTGAGGAACTTAGCATTGAAAGCACATTTCTTCGTTCGGTTAAAAGCTTCCTTTTTTAACCTTAAAAGGCCAATCTTGTACTAAAATAACTTATTACCTAATACTGACTACCCAACGCATCTTTTTACTTTGTGATATATTACACTTCATTTCGATAGTCATGCTGGAAATGCATCCTTTTTTATATGTTTAAGTTCTTCATAGGCCATTATATTGCAGTGTAGAATTTACTTCATCGTTTTAAATTTAAGCTGATTAGAATTAATCTGTTTCCTTTAGCAAGATATACCTAAACATCATAAAGCCAAAATGTGTCTAATTATTCGACTGAAAAGCGTTTTGGAGCATAGAACTATGTTGGATTAGTGGTGAAAACCTTGCAATTTTAAGTTAGAAATCTTGGTTTCGTTTCTCATTGGTGAATACTAACATAATACTTAAAATTTTGCTTTATAATTATGCGATTTTTCCAAAGGTGACCGTTGGGAAATATTTCCTTAAGCAAATATGGGGTGATTTAAATGAAATTGGTTGTCTATAGTCCAAAAGGGGTAAATTTCGTTAATTTTCATTGCATACAAACGAATATAGTCCCTGAATTTTGCTCTCTCGTTATGTTCAGAGTAAGAGAATTTTCGTTGCTGAAAAACTTCAATCCGACAACTTCTTCGGCTCAGAATTATAAAGCTATAACAACAGCATCTCAATATTTCGAACAAAGAGAACCTGCTTAATGTAAAAGGATTAAATTGAAAATACTTAATTGCAATGAAAAAATTAGTAAAAAATAAGAAAAAATAAATTTTAGAAATTGTTTACTTATATTATTATTAAAACCGAAGTAATGTCTATTCATAAAATACTTATCTCTATCAAGTAATCAATATTATTGCTTATATTTAGCCTTTAAACTTGTAAAATTAAATTTGAATAATATTCTCAACATAATTCTACTCGATATAACTGAATTAGTAAGATTTAAAATTGATTTGGTTAACTTCTGAAATGATGGAAAATCACGTGTAGCCAATAGGGAATATGTGCTCTGCAGGTCTACAAAGTTTTATAGCCCTGTTTCAGGTTTTTTTCCAATTTTTTCAAACACATAAATTTTAACTAGTTCGTGAAACATTGCTCCAAGGAAACCCAAAATGTATTCCCTTGTATACTTGTGAAAATGGCGCAACGCAAAATGGCTCTGTCAGTCAGGAGCATTCTAGGACGCTTCAAATACGTCCACAATAACAGACGCAACAGTTCTTCACGACTCTTGCATATTCTCTTTAGAAAACCTTTTATCAGTAAATCAAAGCTAAAATTAAGTACTTTTTACAGTGAGTCCAAATGGGAATCAAATATTAAAGAGTTAGTCATCCTCACACGATTTAACCGCGTGCTCAAACCTTCTGGAGGGTACGGTTGTACATGTAGTGGACTGCAAAGATAGTCAGCTATTAATGTTAATACAAATTATTCAAGATCCATTTGATGACTAATCTTGTTTGAGGATTTCATAAATTCGATAAATGCTTCACTTGCAATACGTCTTCCTTCTCGATGTCATTACGATAGTTCAAGTCCGACAGCCTTTCCAAACTAGGAAAACTCGCCATAGAGATAACTGAGAATGCGCCAATGTTTATTTATGCAGCAATCTCCTCAAATATCCACTTTCCCCGACGATAGTCGATAGACTTACCTCCACGTGGTGCACCCTAGGCAACGTATATTCATACGGCAAAAGTCTATCAATGGGCAGTTGACTTCTGACTTCAAACTGCCATGACCCCACTGTATGCCATATTCGACTACTTCCATAGTACTCACCTCACCTTTTTTCTACCTTCGTCTTTGAAGCACTCTTCTGTTCCCCTCCCCCCCCCCCCANTTCTGTTCCCCCCCCCCCCCCCCCAACTCTCGACTTTTATTCGGTTGTTTTTTAATACGTTGCTCAATTGGGCCATTGTTGAATGAGTTTTAAATTTTGTTAAAATTAATTAGTAAAATATTTTGTGGAGAAGGGAAATATCTCCAACCTAGCACACATTTTGGGAATGAAGAGACTTTAAGTGGAAACACCGTAATATGCCTAACTGATTTTAGAATGGAATTAATGATTACGATCTATATTATGAAATGGGAACATGCATTCCAAAAATTGGAATAAAGGAGTTTATTTTAGATCAATAATTTTTATATACTTGATTAAATAGACATAATTATAGGATTAAAGATTTTGAATAGCAAAAATACTGGTACACATCAACAATTAGCATAGCATGCAATTTCAATGGTGTTGGTTTGCACAGAAAATTAAAATACAGCTAAAATAAAAAACGAAAATATTTAGATCTTTTTTTGTAATAGATGTTGTGGAATTTATAATGTTATTCACTAAGAGACTAAAAAAAGCTATCATCTCTTTTGCGTCATTTCAGGGCGATTCAACTTGGAATCATTTAAATGAGTTCATCAGGATATTTTATACGCAGTTCAGATACTTTGGGGAGCAACAGAAAGCGTTCTTGATAGAAGTAAAATTAAAATTTGTTTAAAATCGCTCTATAGGTACAACATTTATTTATTTATTTCAAATGGCAGGCTTTATGATATTTATCATTAGCCCTTAATCTTTGACTTCAGCTTCCCCCAAGAAGGGGGGGGGGTACATTTATAGCAGTTAATTAATAGCAATTCATTAGCTGTCTTCTTGCTTCCCAGTATCTTTGGCTTTCCGTACTTGTATTTAGGGTTGGACACCGAATCAGGTGGGTCTTATCCATTTCCTCCTGTAAGTTACATAGAGGGCATGTGGGTTGAGTGTATAATCCCAATCTGTGAAGGTGTTTTGCCAAGCAATCGTGTCCGCTACGTAGTCTGAACTCAGCAACGGCTTCGATTCTTGGCCAGTCGGGTATGTCGGAGATTGCCACTGTCCACTGTTTCTCCTTTGTTCGAGCTTTAATTTCGTTGCACCTTGAGGTCTGGAATTCTCTCCTGATTAAGGCCTTCATTGTGTGGAAAGACATCGGCCGATCCATGCATTGCAAAATCGTTGTCCCCTTCTTAGCAAGTGTGTCAACTACATCAATGTCTGCTAATGGGTTCATGGGGGGAGAGAGGCTTTTTGGTTTGTCATCGATTTGTAATGCTTTCTTCAGTTCTATGGCTTTCTGTATTAGACCAGATTGCGTTTTCAGGTGTCTTGGTCTATTCTCATAGGTGCTGAAGAACTTGTCCATGGGAATGCGCAGTAGCTTCTCGTACAGGATCAAGGCCTTTTCTTTGATAAGGGAACCTATTGTGGTGCTTCCTGTAACTAGGAGCATTGCATCAATGGGTGTTGATTTTATCCCTCCAGTAATTAGTCGTAATGCTTGGTTGTGTGCCTTCTCGAGNCGTTTAGCTTGTAAGATGGCTTGCCTTAGGACAGCTGATTGTCGTCTCCAGGCTTTTACGTCTTCCGTTCTTCCAGTCTGATCAGCAGTGTTGCGAAGGGCGTCCCTCTTTCTTTTCAGTTCCTCAAGGTGTTTAGACCAAAACACTCGATAGCGTTTAGTCTTGCCTCGGGGAATAGTTTTCTTTGCACATCTGATCATAATATTCGTGATATCAGTGCAAAGTTTGTCAGGATGTTGGTTGAAGTTGAGTGGACTTGTGTGAAATTCATTCTCCAAAAGGTTTGTGAATCTAGGCCAGTCAGCCTTCTTGAAGTTCCATGATAGCTTAGTTGGCACTTTCCTTGACATGCTTTTGCTGCCGATGACTGGTTTGTGACCAGAACCAGGATCTTCAATTATTTTGCGGTGTGTATGCTCACTGATGTCGCTTGAAGCCAAGAGTAAATCAGGAGTTGTTCTGGATCCATTGTAGTGCAAATATGTAGCCGGATCCTCATTGCTATAAATAAGTTCCAGAGTGTTGCTGTTTAGCATGTCTTCAATTTCCTTTCCAGCTATGTTTGTATCCTTGTAGCCCCATCTGGTGGAGTGGGCGTTGAAGTCTCCTAATACTACAGCTAATCATAATAAATTGAAGTCAAAAACGAATGCCGAGTGATAGACTTTTTTGCCGTAAGAAAATACGTTATCCAGGGTTCACCACGTGGAGGTAAGTCTATCGCGCACATTTATTTTTATCAAATGGCAGGCGTTTTGATAGTTATCAATAGCCATTGAGTTGACTTCAGGCTTCACAGAGGTTAAGGGACATTAAAGTGAAAAAGTCGAGGGGGGGGGGGGAACAGAAGTGTTTCAAAGATGTAAAAGTGACCGACACAATGGTAGAAAAAAGGTGAGGTGAGTACTGTGGAAGTATCCGAATATAACACATTAGGGTGATGGTAGTTTGAAGTCAGAAGTCAACTGCTGGTAAAACTATTTGCTTTATGAGTATGCGTTGCCCACAGTGCACACCCCAAAGAATGTTCGGAGAAGAGTATCTCAACGCCTTAGCACACTGGTCGCCCAAACAGGGACTCGAACCCTGGACCTTCAGATTAAAAGTCTGATGTTCTACCGACTGAGCTATCCGGGCTCTATGAGTATGGCATAACCCTTTGAATTACTGAACCAATGGAAGTAAGGTTATATATTCCAATATCCAAGGGTAGCTATAATGGGCACAATATTTTCAATTTTATTAAATTGCTTATTTTTTCTTAATTGGTTAAACCAGATTTTCGGAACATTCTCAGAATAACTCAGTTAAACTAAGTGGAATGAGGAGTCATATTGTACTTCAAATCAAAGTGTAATTTAACAAGCTTTAATCGGTTACTCTTCACAAATAAAAAGTAGCAAGACTAGTTTGCAATTCAATCTTTTGAAATAACTTAAACTGAAATTATACAGTAAAAAATTAAAAAGGAGCATTGTTTTTAGTGAGAGTAGATTGTAAAATTCCAACTTTTACGTGATAAATTTGTTGGAACCTAGAATAAAGTTTGTTTCTAATGTCTAAACATATGTTCTTTAATTTAACTAATCCGATAAGTCACTTTAACTCTTTCGGATGTTACAAATTAAATGCATAGTAAATTAGACTACTATTTGAAACAATAAAAATATCTTTTTCCCCTTCACCTGCCAATTTCAATGTTTGTATTGTCGCTTTTTCGACAAAATATTTATTTATAGATTGCATTCTGAAAACATTATCAAAAAGACTGAAGTTAAGCTTATGATCTACTAATCAGGATTTGATTAGTGCTCTTGACAAAAAGTACACCGTTTTCCTAAGAATGTTTCTATGCGTGATGAAAGGCAATGAAAAATACCGTGTCAAGTTAATTATTAATCAAACGAAATTCGACATAATGGCATTGGAAACGCTTAGCAACTATAATCTCAAAATAATCTCACGGATGAAAGCACGCAAAGGCTTTCAACTGATAAGTCCATTTCAAACCTTATTTTAAAATTCACAAACCCTCTGGATGCGATTTCAAGGCAGAATATGTATAGCGTTTTCTTCGAAAGTGATAGTAATTCGTGGTTGTGGGAGTTTTAAACACGCGATAAATACCATTGATTTATATAGTTATCAATATTGCCGGCAAGGAGTGTGCGATAGACTTACCTCCACGTGGTGCACCCTGGGTAACGTATACTCATACGGCAAAATAGTCTATTAACCGACAGTTGACTTCAAACTACCAAGGCCCCCTGTATGAAATATTCGACCACTTCCACAGTACTACATCACACTTTTTTCTGAATTTTCAACCTTCGTCTTTGAAACACTCTTCAGTTCCCCTCCTCTTGACTTTTTCACTTTGATGTTCCTTCCCCTCTGTGAAGCCTGAAGTCAACTAAAGTGCTATTGATAACTATCAAAACGCCTGCAATTTGATATAAATAAATATTGTCAGCAAAATAACCAGCAAAGATTCTCCAATTTTTTTTCACCGACAGAATTTATTCGTCCGGGTTTTACCTGTTCTTCAATTTTTGCCTTTTTTAAAATTAAAACAGCCTCCAATTCCATGACTTAATTTTTTTTTCAATCCATTTTCCCAAAATACGAACGGTAAATTCTAATTTCTCGCTCTTCTTTTATTGGGTTCTTTGCAATTTATCATAGTTAAAAATTTGCTACAATATATTATTATTTAGCGATATTTTCAGATTAGCTTGTCAAGATTTAATTTTCGCAAAATTCATTTAAATATATTTGAATTGAAAACACTTTTTTCCGTATTGGACCTGGCTCAGACAACTTAACCCTTCAAAATGATCACGATTAAACAATTTTTTAATTTAAAAAACTCCAAATATTTGAAGCGAATATTTTGGCAAGATACATTGCGATTATTCAATGATACAAGGTTTATTGGCTAAAGCGAATTTTATTTCAGTATTGTAAATGGTTAATATACTAGAAAATACAATTTCTAAATTCCTCGAGTTTAGGGTTTTGATACACTTTTTCATTAGTTTAGATTTATCTCCAAAATTAGGATATAATCGATAGTGCTCATTCTACGATAAGCCATAAAAAATTACGAATGTTTGCATCTGGGTAATTTTTTTCAAATGGCTTATATAAGTATCAAAAGGCATGATGAAAAGCAAAGATGAGTTCTAAATTCGGTGACAATTTTTGAAATGTGATTGTATTCACAATACAAATAAAGGTTGTATACTTCCATCTATAAGCAACTCTTTATAGAACCTTTCAATTAACCAGCAGCTGATTTTTGACTTCAAACTATCATCATCCCACTGTATGTCATATTCGACTTCTTCCACAGTACCCACCTCATCTTTTTGAATCTTTATTTTTGTCTCTTTTACATCTTTGAACCACTCTTCTGTCCCCCCCCCACTCGACCCTTTTGCATCTTTGAAACGCTCTTCTGTTCCTCCCCTCTCGACTTGTTTTCAATTTGATGTTCCTTCCCCTCTGTGAAGCCTGAAGGCTTTGAAACACTCTTCTGTTCCCACCCCTCTCTCGACTTTCAATTTGATGTTCCTTCCCCTCTGTGAAGCCTGAAGTCATCAATTTGATGTTCCTTCCCCTCTGTGAAGCCTGAAGTCGGCCCTGAAGTCAAATCGTCTTTGAACCACTCTTCTGTCCCCCCCCCACCCTCTCAAATTTTTCACTTTGATGTTCCTTCCCCTCTGTGAAGCCTGAAGTCAACTCAATGGCTATTGATAACTACCAAAAGGCCCGCCATTTGATATAAATAAGTTTAATCAATACTTAAGTAAATGAATTTGTTCTGAACACTGGCTGAAGTGTTAAATTTACCAAACATTAATTTATTTTATGATTTCAAGCATTATCAGATTTGAATATGCGATAAACAAGTATTGCTGTGCACAAAATGGGCTCAGACTATTGGTTTTTTTGTAATGAATATGTTTACAATTTTGTAACTGTTAATCGGCCCAACAAATTTATGACCAAATTTAGTCTTGTTTAATGAATTAACCCGGCATAATATACATATTTCCATGGAAAGGTTACTTTTCCTCCTAGGAGGAAAAGTTTCAACGTTAAAAATTAAATCAAAACAGTAATATTTAAAAAATGAATATCACTATTAGCAGTCCAAGTGGAAGTTGAGCACTTATCAGAGGAGTATCAAAACCTAAAAATAAAACGTTGAAATAAATTTCTAGTAAAACTGATATAAGGAAAGTTATTTATAAAAAATAAAATAGCCTTTAATCATGTTATAATATTTCAAAATTTGTATCATATAATCATATTTATTTATTTGATTTATAATTTTAGAGCCTCAATGTTTTACGATAATAGAAGAGCCTTGATAACACTATTGAAAAAAGTAATTATTGTTAAGCTTACCTAGTTTTTTTATTTATTATGACATTGATAATGAAAGATTTTTAATATTGAATTAATGCCATGCATGATTAAGAAATTCTTGAACCAAATTTGTAGCATCTTATCTGTTGTATTTATTTACCACTAAGATTTCCACTAAATATATGGATAGACAGACGGTTGATAAAATTTTATTAGTATGAACCCCTGGTACTTAAGTAACTATTAAAAACTTATTTATAAGTATTAAGAAGATAAGGTGATTATTTTTGCCTTTTAATTCCAAACTGAATTAACGAAGTAATTATTTTTTTAATTGAATATTTGCAAAACCTGTTTGTAATTTTTCTAAATAAAAATTTCACATTTCCAGAAAGCGGTATTGAAGACAATGAATTCTTTGTCACAGTTACTGTAATAAGCAAGTATTATAATTTCGCATTTTCTTTCTTCTGAAGTTCAAGTGAAAACACTTTAATGACGTAATGGAGGAGTTGTGAAGGCATTAGGATGAGCTAAATCAGGCAACCTAATA